CGGCACAAACAGGTAATCGGTTGACACACTCGTTTGATTCATATCCCTTTCCGGTTTTCAGATCTTGTTACGACTCCAAATATTTCATTATAAAAATAAAATCAAAATGTGTTTTACTGATTCTATTGAATAAACCTTCATAGTAATGTGTCCCTGTTGCAATGTAAGTCCAATTTAAACATCTCTACTTTGTAATTACAGTATACTACAGTATATCATATCGATGTGACTGGAGGCCATCGAAATGATTCATTGGGTCATTTTTCCACAACGGTAAGTAGCTGCACATAAACAATTAATCACGTCTATATTCTGTAACGTATTAATCCATTACAGCATGCTGTCCCGCTCACTGCCTGCAGTGCACAACAATAAGGAAACTGCGCATTACATCAACGCGCTTAATCTAACATTCAATGTACAATTTTACAATCCTTCCCTTGTTCATTCAACATCATGTTTGCAAACCAATGTAATGCCGCAGTCTAGCCTACAATCACACACAACACAAAACATGTCAAACATCCACTGTAGTGCAAGGTGTGAGAAATGACCAAAAATGAGCAATACATCCCTGTCTGGGAATAAATCGGTTCGTATCCCACTTGAATCTTTCCTTCCCCGGAAGTGGCAGCTTTCAATGACACCATACTTCCTGTCTTGTAATGTTCAAAGAGAGGGTTCTCGTGTGTGATGAAGAGTCCAGAAAAGGCGAGCTAGCCAGGTATTAACGATCAACTAATCGGATAAATCATTATTTTTCACCATCCCTTGTGATAAGTGATGTGATTTGATCTTTTGTGCGTGTGTGTGTGTGTGTGTGTGTGTGTCTGACGTTTGAAAGAAAAGATCATCTCTTGTGTCTCAGGACAATGAATGCATTCATGTAAACGACAGCCCTTGCGAGGACACGGACAAGATCACGACACATCATCATAAATACTGAGCATTATCCAGACTCACTTTTAGTTCTGCGAGGTGAATACAAACATTCAAGAAAACGAACACACATGCCGACAGTGTCACATTTAGACACCAAACTTGTTTACATGGCGGATAAGCGACGGTCCCGTTGTTGATGACAGACTGTACTCATTGTGTGGTCGATTGTATAAACACTTAAGGGCAAAGTGCTTTATCTCTGAGACTCGGGTTGTGTGTTGATTTGCTGGTTGTTGCAGCTGATAAGCAGCACTTGGTTGGATGAAGGTCATTATCGTACAGCTGAATACTTCTTTTTACTGCTTGTATTCTCTTTTGAAGTCTGGGTCATTTGCAAGAAGAGTTTTTTTTTTTTTTTTGGGGTGATTGACACTTCAGTCCTGTGGGCACCAAGAAATCCTTTCAATGGATGAAGAAAAAGGACACGTTAAGCCGATATTGGAAAGGTGAATATTGGAACGCAAACAAACAGGAGGAAAAACCTGTGCGGCCGCAGTCGATAGTTAGTTGTACGTCTTCACATCGTCGCGGACCCCCTCCCCCGCATTGTGGGCATAGTCTTACCACTTGCTCAGATGACAGCGGATGAACCAGAAGAAGAAGAGTTTGAGTTGGGGGATGAAGGAAGGTTCCAGAAAAGCCACTTGCGTTTACACTGGCGCCTCTGGTAAAGGTAGTCCTCCTTGTCGCGCTCCTTCCGAGCTCTTTGGTAGTGGTCGTCCTCTTTCAGGAACCACACTGGTGGCCAGCGATGCTTCTCAAAGTAATCTTGGTTGTCTGCATTGGAAATGGAAAATGACTGCATGATTGGATGTAGTCATTCCGCATCATCAAGTGAAAGCCAATCCTCTTTTCCCAAAGTCAGATGGAATCGGATCATGATCACCCACGATCCGAATCCGAACAATTGGTTGGATGGATGGATTTGGCTCGATGGAGGAAGGCTAGTGCGAATATCAGTCATCTTTACCATTCACCAATCAAATGCTCGGTGATAGTGAATGGCACACAACGTGGACCGCAAGATTACCAATGGGCATTCAGAAGTATATATATATATATATATATATTCAGCTCTGTCAGCCGTCAAGCAATTTAAAAGATGATTACATGCACCTCTGGCCCTGGAATGCTAATGCTACAAACGTTACTAACAAATCAACAGCTTCTTTTCACACCGTTCATGCTGTTCATACATTTCAAGCAGGTAGTGGGGTTGGGGAAAAACATGAATATATCTCCTGATTGTAACTCAATTGTACTAAATCACTGTAGCAGTGGTCCTGATTGTTGTATGGCCAACATGGAGTTGTAATTGCTCCTAATTTCCCCTTGGTACTTTGCACACTACACAACACCAAATAAAAGCTAAAGGAAAAAAGTGGCACTGAGATACATTAAATTGGCTTGAACTGGGCTTGATTGGGTATGTGTATGCCCAACTTCACGTCTGACCTGCAGAGGGCGTCCCTGCGGCAGAAACTTCGTTGGTGGAGACAGTTGGGTTGCGGGCCCTCCATCTCCTCAAAAGCACAGGAGGGTACAATGGTCTTCCTCCTCCTCTCACCACAGAGTGGATTGGTACAGTGGCAGAAAAGGACACCAAAGCTGTATTCCTCAGGTACTCTTTCCATGAATCTTCGTAGAGCCCGATGACATTTCTGCTGGTTGCATCGATTGGTTCCAGGTATCTTCTTGGTGCATGCCACAACATACTCTGATCGCAGAGCACCACATTTCTCATATAGGCCACAGTCCTGAGCTGCTTTCAGGCACTGGTTATCCACATCACCTTGAATGAACCCTGAGGCTGGGAAAAAGTAAGTGATAAATGTCACACAATGCTTTTTTCAAAAAAATACAACTTATAACTGAATCACTTTTAGCAATTGATTTTGAAGTGTGAAATGCAGCAGTTTGAAACATATTTACAGTTGATTAGATACAGAGGATAATAGTTGACAGACTCTTGTTCATTAACCAGATTTTTGCGATATAAAAGAATTGAGACCAAGATATGGAGATTCTTTTGCACCCTTTTTTGAACAATGAGATCCCTCTAATGCTGTGGAAATTCTCTGCGGGCCATTGCTTATGGTGGAACCTGTGACTGAATAAATGTCAGACAAAGCATCTGAGAACAGCTGAACTATATTTGGTGTTAATCAGAGGCACTTTATATAGTAACAGGTGTGAACAGATTCCTGTTTAAAGAGTTTGAATGTGATGGGTTTATAAACAACCATCCGCGTTCTCCCTCACACACCCAGTGAAAATTTTGAATGTTTAACTTGCCATGCATATTTTTAGAATGTGGGAGGAAACCGGAGTACCTGAAGAAAACCCATGCAGGCACAGGAAGATGGGAGCCGGAATCCAACACTGCACCTCTTTATTTACTGTGAGGCTGACACCCTAACCAGTTGACCACCGGGCTGCCATATACAGTGTGTGTGTGTGTGTGTGTGTGTGTGTGTGTGTGCGTGCGCGTGCGTGCGTGCGTGCGTGTGTGTGTGTGTTTGTGTGTGTGGGTGTGGGTGTGTGTGTGGGTGTGTATATATGTATACAGTGATCCCTCGCTATTTCGCGGTTCATTTATCGCAGCTTCAGTGCATCGCGGATTTTTTCAAACATATTCATTAGAAAAAAAAATATATAAATAAATAAAGAATTTAAGTCCTCAAAAAGTCCGCAACCGGTCCAGAAGAAGCAGCGAAAGTCAGCAAAACAACAGCGAGTCATATAGAGCAACATATATAGTACTACATGTACAGTATATGTTTACTGTATTTGGTTATTCATACACTAACCTAACCTAACTTATACATGTTTAAATCTATTAGTATACAGCATTAAGTAATGTTAGTTACGACAAAATTTACTTCTACATGCATGTATACCATTAAATTTGGCCTTATAAATATTTTTTATACTCATACACATGTACATATACCTATACGGGGGAGCGGGTCGCCACTTAGCGGATATTCGTTTAGCGCGGGTGGCTTTGGTCCCCATTAACCGCGATAAACGAGGGATTACTATATATATAAATATATGTGTATGTATTGTTAAGATATGATTCCTCTCTGTTAGCTGGATTTGAAAGAAACAATGTAGAATGCTGTTGAAGGTATTTCCTGCTTACTGTGATTACAATCACCTTTGGTACCCCCTCACCCCCACTACTTTTATGACCCCTCCAGAGGACATGTCAACATCAAAAGAGGAACTGTTATCTCAAGTATCTGTGTTGCAGCTATTGAGGGACTGCGTTTTACTATGAGTACAATTGCTCTCAGTCTCTTTCCTGACCATTTGTTTGTACACTTAAAACAACGTATGTAGTGTTAAAGTTTATCTTCTTCCTGCTTGGTTGATTAACAGACCCCTAAGTGTCTTCTGTTATTCCCCCGCGCCTTGGGTCAGTCCCTGATCGCTGTTAAGCCCCCTTGGGAAGCCCTCTTATCTCAGGATGTATACACAGCGGGGGTTCTGGAACTTGCTATCACACCAAATGGTGGGTCGTGGTGGTTTGGTCTCACCCCACCACTCCAAATGTCTTCCAGCCACGCCGGGTCAGATGTCATGTTACTTTCTTTGTTTCCGGGATTTGCATGAGAGGCGTACCTAACCGCCTCTCATTATCATATTGTCTCTATATAATCTCATGAATGTGTTTTAGGCGTACCTAACTGCCTCTCATTATCAGATTGTCTCTATATAATCTCATGAATGTGTTTCTTCTACGCTTCCTGATTCAAATCTGGACCCCTCAGGAGCCTGAATCGATTCGTAAACTGCAGAAAATAAATTAAAACCCTTCGAAGGAAGTGTACATCGCCTCCAGCCTTTATTTGGATTACCAACATTCTCCTCGTCCGAAATTCAACGAACACGCGGGAAAGAGGAGGCCGCTCTTCCCCCAACAGCCCATACATAAGCGTTGTATGTGTGTGTGTGTGTGTGTGTGTGTGTGTGTGTGTGTGTGTGTGTGTGTGTGTGTGTGTGTGTGTGTGTATCCACACACACTGTAATTTCTTTATCTGAACCACTTTATCCTCCCAAGGGTCGCGGGGCATGCTTGAGCCTATCCCAGCTGTCATTGGGCATTAGGCAAGGTACTTCTTGAACTGAATACCAGCCAATCATACGACATGGACAAACGAGGTCATATTCGCGCTCACAATCACACCTAGGGACAATTTAGAGTGTTCAGTCAACTTACCATTCATGATTTTGGAATGTGGGAGGAAACCGGAGAAAACCCAGAACACCCACGCAGGCACGGGGAGAACATGCAAACTCCACACAGGAAGACCGGGGAGGTGGACGTGTTAACCAATCAAACACACACACACACACACACACACAC